TTTTTATTTTGGGGCACATGGGTAGCTCAGTTGGTTAGGTGTCCGACTTTGGGTCAGGTCATGATATTGTGGTCCATGGGCTCAAGCCCTACGTCGGGCTCTGTGCTGACAGCTCAGAGCCTGAAGCCTGCTTCAGATTCTGTGTCTCCCTCTCTCTCTGACCCTCTCCTGCTCACACTCTCTTTCTGACTCTCTCAAAAATGATGAAATATTTTAAAAATTATTTATTTTGAAAGAGAGAGAGAGAGAGCATGAGCAGGGGAGGGGCAGAGAGAGAGGGAAGAGAGAATCCCAAGCAGGCTCTGAACTATCAGCACAAAGCCTGATGTGGGGCCTGAACACATGACCCCTGAGATCATGATCTGAGCGGAAAGGAAGTCAGATGTTTAACCAACTGAGCCACCCAGGTGCCCCAGAGAGACAGAATCTTAAGCAGGCTCCATGCTTAGTGCAGGGCCTGAGAAGGGGCTTGATCCCACGACCCAAAAATCATGACCTGAACCAAAATCAAGAGTCAGACATTCAACCAACTGAGCCACCCAGGCACCCTTCCTTATTCTTATTTTAAATTTTATAGAACCAGAAAAGAATAAGCAGGGCTGAGAGAGATGCGCAATTAACCAGAATGCAAATGTCATGATTTGAGCACTACTGGTCGAAGGGGAGAGAGAGCAAAGGCAAAACGAAACTGCTCCAAACAAATCAGGGAGCCAAGAAGGAGAGCAGGAAATGCACCCAGGGAACTTGCAACTCCTCACCCGTCCCTCCAGACAATAAATGAGTACAACCTGTACATGCACATGCACTGGTGACCTGAGATACAAACGGGGACATTTGTACCTGCTTTTTGTCTCATCTTTAGTCTCAGCCCCTGAAGATTTTAGTATCTGAGGGGACTTGCTCATAAGTGAAAGTGGGACCCCACTCTTTGTGTCAGTGTCCTGACTGTTCCACTGAACTCTTCCAAAGCATGGCTCACAGCCCCAACTCCTCGGTCTCCCTAGGAAGTCAGAGAGGGACACAGCTTCCTCCCCTCTCCACCAGTTTGCTGGAAGAGGACATGATTTCACCAAAGAGGAAGTCACAAAAGATCTACTCTAAGACAGGGCTGAAAATCTTCAGGTGGCCTTTATCCAGGCATGCATTTCCTGCTGGAGACAAGTTCCTACGTTTAATGGCTGTTTCAACACAACACCAAGTATTGTGTACTGATGTGGGTTTCTGCACATCCAGAATCCTTAATAAGCCTTCAATGGTTAGCTTGGGACTAGTGAACCATCCTTTCACTATCTTGACTCAGAAATGACCTCTAGGCCCAAAGCCAAATAGCCAGGAGCAGACAAAGCTAAATCAAGGTGCATTTGGGTCAGGAGCTTCAAGTCCTGCCCTCTCCTCTTGGTAAAATAATCACAGAGGAAAACATACTTCTACTGAGAAACCTGTTAACCAGCCTCTGGCTTATTCCTCTTATTTTTATCAGCAAGAAAAAAAGAAAGGTCAAGTGAGTAAACCACTTTAGGTCTTGGAGTTACTCTAAGTTTGCATTCCAGCTCTTCCACTTAACACCTGAGCTTAGATACCTCTCTGAGCCTCCGGAGTTACTAAGTGAATTAGAAGCAATGAGGTTGTGCCCGTATATGTGAACTAGAGTGCAGATTCTTGTATCTGGATTGCCTAGAGCTTTTTCACGAAAGTTCCATAGAATCTCATAACCATGTGCGTCATTGGAATGATCCTACAATACATTTTCAGGGACAAGTTCCTTGATTTCTCACCCTTAGGCTGAGAAGTTTTCCCCCTTAGTCATATGCAGCTTAGAAAAACTTCTCACCAAATCATGTGATTTGGGCTCACCCTGGCAAACCAGATTTTCTTCATTGCTGGCAAGGCCAAACACTCAGGTTTGGATGGGAACTCTGGGAACCACATTTGGAGCTGATGCATGATATCATTTAAGTGTTTTTGCTAACTGTGTGTTCTAGTAACTGTGTTTTTTTTCTTTTTGTTTGTTCTCAATAAAACAGTACAACAGGGGCATCTGGGTGGCTAGAAAAGTCGGTTAAGCATCCTACTTTAGCTCAGGTCATGATCCCGTGGTTTGTGGGTTTGAGCCCTGCATTGGGCTGGGTGCTGACAGCTCAGAGCCTGGAGCCTGCTTCGGACTCTATGTCTCTCTCTCTCTCTCTCTCTCTCTCTCTCTCTGCCCCACCCTCACTCATGCTTTCTCTCTCTCTCAAAAATAAGTAAACTTTAAAAAAAAAAAAAAGAACCAGTACAATAGAAATTACCCATGTACTTGGTATATAATAAGGTAAGTATGGTTTCACAACATCTGTGTGTGAACTTGGTCTTAATGTACAATAGATTTCTTACTATGGATCTCAGTCAACAAATATTAACTGTAACATGAAATGCTACCAGGCTGCCCCCTCCAGGTGGCTCTAACTCAGCCCTCCCACAGCTGACAGCTCATAGCTGGTTCTGCCTGCCATTCTTCCACCTCTGAGGCCTGAAACCTGCCAGCATTGCTGCTTGCCTCGCCAGACCCCAGGGCACATCTGAAGAGAAGCACCGGAAATCTAGCTGTACATTTCAGACGTTCCTACTCTTTTGGGGAGGCGGGGGGAAGGCGGGGTGGGGGGAATGAGAACCTCATTGCAATTATGGAAATGAAAATGCTAGGGACCCAAAAGGGAAATCTACTTGAATTTTTGCTTCGCCAGCTCAGATCCCTTCGAGAACCATCAGCAAACAGTAAATGGTCAAAATGGCTCACCTCTCCCAGTGCACAAGTATTTGCATTTATGGCATTCCAGGAGTCCTTCAGCCTCTGACTGGTAATATTCCACTCCCTCTTGTCCAGACCTGGGGTTCGAGGGCAGGTATCTCCCTGAAGTAAGTTCACTATAACCAAAAACATACATGGTCATTAGGGGCTTCAAATTCAAGAGCTTGTTCAGTATTAGAACACTGAACATCTCAAGCTGGGCCCAGACATTAAAGAGATGGGCAGAACAGAAACAAAATTTGTTGTAGTACTTCATATTCCAGAGATTTCCCTGGTTTAGTGGTCCCACAGGGTATCCAAATACTTGGCCCAACATTGTTAAGCTACCACATCACATATCTCTACAATTCTGAACACTGATTTGATGCTAGTCTGTCCACCTGCGGCTAACTAGGTAGCCAGGAGCCACCTTTGTGAGCCTAGGTTTTCAGTCATCACAGACCCGGCTTTCTTTAAAACTAGTTTGCATTCAAGGAGCCTGGGTGGCTCAGTTGGTTAAGCATCTGACTTCAGGAGCGCCTGGGTGGCTCAGTCGGTTGGGCGACTGACTTCACCTCGGGTCATGATCTCACGGTTTGTGGGTTCGAGTTCCACATTGGGTTCTGTGCTGACAGCTCAGAGCCTACAGCCTGCTTCCAGTTCTGTCTCCCTCTCTCTGCACCTCCCCTGCTAGTGCTCTTTCTGTCTCTGACTCTCAAAATGCAAATAAATGTTAATTAAAAAAAATTTTTTTTTTAAAAAGTATCTGACTTCAGCTCAGGTTATGATCTGATGGCTTGTGAGTTCAAGCCTTGCATCGGGATCTGTGCTGACAGCTCGGAGCCTGGAGCCTGCTTTGGATTCTGTATCTCCCTCTCTCTGTCCCTCACACTCTGTCTCTCTTTCTTTCTCTCTCTCTCAAAAATAAATAAACATTAAAAAAACAAAAACAAATTAGTTTGCATTCACAAGACTCTGATGCCCAGGCTGGCATTCTCTTCATTCTCTTGTTACTTTAGAAAGATCTTAGTCTGCAATAACTCTCTAGACCTATGGGTAGTACAGACAACTTTGGAAGTCATCTCTCTCTCTCTTCCTCTGCTAGTTCTGGCACTTTTTTTCTTTTCCCCTTTAGCCAGCATATCCTGAGCTTTGTCCGAGAAGCAATGGTGGGGTCTGCATTCAACCTACTCGGCTCCAGGGATCCTTCTAATGTTCTCATCATGGATCTCTTGGGTTTGAAATCCTTAAACTCTTATGGCCTTGGATAAAGTCCAAACTTTTAGCACAACACAGGAGAGCCCTTGCTCTTCTCTCTTCACTCACAACCTCATACTCACAGACCCAGCCATAATAAACTTCCTTTCTCCACCCCCAACCCCCCACTCCCACCCCCCAAAAAGATGACAGCATTCCCATGCTCTAGGTCACTATGGAAGCTATTTCTCTGCTTGGAACCCCTTTCATCTTCCTCTCCCAGTCTTCCCATTCTTGCCCCTTTTCCAGAACTCAGCTTTGTGGGCATTGTGCTCCAAGAAATCTTCCAGATCTTAGGCAGGGGATCTGTTCTCTTCAAATTGGCTTCCCCTGAAGTGGCACATTTCACACTGTGCTGCAACCAGCCCGTTTACTTGTCTGTCTCCTACCAGACAGTGGACACTGCCAGGATATCTCACCCATTAAGTAATGGAGCTCTGGCTCCTACATCCTGCTGATTAAATAAAAGCTTATTGTGTAGAGGAAATGTGGAAATAGATTGTCCTTTGGTTTCAAACCACCAACTGTCTATGAGCCAAAAACACAAAAGTATTCCCTTCACTCGTTTGGGGCTGGGGTGGAGGACTGGGACACTGACTTAGAAGGAAATCCAAAATGTAGCTCTGAAGAGCTACCAAAGCAATTTGGCTTTGGTCAGGGATGAACAATAACTAGTGCCTGTGACTATATCTGGGCACACCCTTTTTCATAGTTTGGCTAGTTGGTTTTAGATAATGTAACATAAGCTCAAGATAACAGCTTTCCCCGCTGTGTGGACACAACAGGGAGGGAGGCCAAGCTTAAGCCTCCAAATCCTATAGCAGAGAGGAACCTGACTCCTCCTTAGAGAAGAGGGCAGGTGTCAACCAGAAAGCAGCCATCACTCTAGTACTTTTCTCCTTGTTGGCCTGGCACATAATCTAATCGGGCATTCAGTAATATTTGTGGAGTTGGATGGAATGTTTGAGGGAAAAAAGACCAACACCCTAGAAAGAGGTGTGGAGTCTAGGACTGCCTCCTCTCCTCCCTTCCATCCTTACCCTCTCTCAGCGTACTAAGTCCTGCAGAACAGCAAGAGGCTTTCACCTCACAAGGCCCATAATGGAATTCTCTGTGTTCTACCAGGCAAGGATGGCATACTGTGTTCATTCAGCGGGGTGGGATCTGAAACAATCATGGGATTTGAAGAGGCTGCCCGGAAAGACTTCAATGACAAAGGTAGGGAAATCTCTGTCCTTCGGTGGGAGTTTTAGGTGGATTTAGTTCTTTGGCTAAACCGGTAGCCTCTCCCAGCTGTCTGTTTTGAAACGCATATACCCCTAGAAGAAGTTGCAGATTCAACTATTAACCCTTCACTGGGCGGCTTTTAATTAGCCCTTGGCACTGGGACTTGGAGGTGGGCTGGTTTGGGAACACAGGACAAAGGTCTCAGGGTCTGAAGCCCCAAGGGGCAGTCGTGTGGGAGGAGCCTTAAGTTAACACCACCTACTTAGTCTCCTTCCCACCCCTTCCCTTTCCTGTCCTGAAGTCCTCTCTTCCTCCTTACCTGGTCCCCGGCCCTGCCACTGCTAACAGGAGTGGTTTCTACTTTGTTAATCAGGTTCGGATCAAGAAGTGGGGGCACCGTAAGGTTTTCTTTCCCTCCCAGGTCACCTCTAAGAGCGCAAAAGGGAGGAATGGCACTGTCTTTCTTTAAGCCGGCCTCTTAGGCCACGAAGCCGGGGGCGTGGGAGCAGCGCAGACAGGCCGCAGACCCAGGCTTCCTGGGTGCCCAGGTCTCAGTGCGCCCCTTAACCCCACCTCACCTTGCCGGGTCACGGTGCCCGAAGCGCTCCTTCCTCGGGAGCGACGGCTCCGTGGTTTCCCAAGGCGCCGGCCAGGGGGTCAAGGCTGAGTCCCAGGTTGGCTTGCGGGGTCCGTCCCGTGTCCGGCTCTGGCGGGACTTTTCCCAAACTCTTTGTTCACCCGCGCGAAGGTCTTCGACCCTGTGTCTGTCGTGGCGGGGGTCCCGGTCCCTCCCCCTGTCCCGGTCCCCGTCCCTGCGCTCGCCCCCGTTTCTCTCCCTGCGCCGGTTCCCGTGTCTGTCCCGCTGTCGCTCGGGGTGGAGGTCTCGGTCCGGGCGGGAGTGCCGGTCTGGGTCCCGCTCTCTCGGTCGGGCGCGGGGCTCGCGAGCCCCTGACGTATCTTCCATGGCCCAGTTCCGCGTCCCCACCCCGGAGCGACCCGAGGGCAACAATCCACAAGTTTCCCGGGCAGGTGGCCAAGCCCGGGGGCGGGGCGGGACGCTCACCTGCGCGCACGCGCACTAGCGGCACGGCGGGCTCGGGGAGCGCTCACCTAAGCGCGCTGCCGGCAGGGGGCGCGGCTGGGCGCTCGAGAAGCGGGAAGCGCGTGCCGGGCTAAGGCTTGGGGGTGTGGCTCGCTGCTCTGCGCGCAGCGGAGCTGACGACCTCCCGCCCACCACACCTCGTCTTCTTTGGCGTATCCTCTCAGTGACCCTGAAAGGTGGGTGGCAAAGGGAAGTGAGTTCTCGACTTTCTCAGCCCCGTGGGTGTGCGTTCCCGGAGCGTGCCCATCCGTTCGCTCACCCATTTTTTGGCCCTCCAAAAATCCAGCCACCCAGCCGGCTTCCCTTCCACTGGCCCTCTCTGTCTTCCTCCCTCTTCTGCTGTCCTTACAACTGTGTTGTTCGGGGGTGCTTGTGGCCAGTTCGTCTACTGCAACAGCCCTGGGCTTATGAACGTTTTTTAAAATGACTAACCTACACGGAATAGGCAGCTTTTTCTTTTGTCAAGTGAGGATATTTAAAAACATAAAATTGCCGTCTGTTAATGAATCCTTTAGACAAATATATGTGAGCACCTACTCTAGCACGCCCTGGAGATACAGTGGCAAACTCTCATTGCAGGCGCTTCCCTTCTGGCGTGTGTGGGAAAAGAGAGAAAGGGCCCTAGAGGAAGAAAGAAGACAATGTCTAAAATTTAACAAGGAGGAGGGCAGGTTTCTTTCTGCAGGTCTGAGAAGGGACCTTTGAGTTCAGTCCTGGATGAGAGGAGGCAGCTTTGGGGATAGCTGACAGAACGTTCCAGAAAGAGAAGCTGAATAATGCAGAGAGCTGGAGAAGAAGGTTTCTGCGAAGGGAGTGAGAGAGGATGGGATGACGCTGAGAGGTGGAGTAGGTGATGTAGGGTCTTTATGGTGAAGACTCTGCATTTTCGTTCTGAAAGTAATGGGAAAACACTGAATAGTTTTGAGCAAGAGAACGACTTGTTCTAATTTATGGTTTTACAATACTACTCTGGCTTTTGTGTGGAGGGTGGATGACAGGAGGCCAAGGGTAGTGGCATCAGATGAATTAGGAAGCCAGCAAAGCAGAGGCGCCTGGGTGGCTCAGTCACTTAAGCATCCGACTCTTGGTTTTGGCTCAGGTCATGGTCTCTCAGGTTTGTGAGTTGGAGCCCCATGTTGTGCTCCACGCTGACAGCACGGACCCTGCTTGGGATTCTTTCTCACTCCCTCTCTCTCTCTGCCCCTCCCCTGCTCTCTCTCTCTCTCTCTCTCTCTCTCGCAATAAAAAAATAAACTTTAAAGAAAGAAGAAGAAAAAGAAGCTACCAAAGCAATCTGATGGGTGATAGTGACTCAGTTGCTGGTGAGAAATGTTCAGATCCAGGTGGTTTGGAGGAAGAACTTACAGGATGGATTGGATGTAGGGGAGTGAAGGCAAGTGAGAAGTGACTGGGCGGTGGAGGCAGCCATTTACTGAATTGGGAAGACTGGAGGGAACAAGATATGGGGAAAAGTGGAAAGTTCCATTTTGGACATGCAAAATTTGAGGTGACTGTGATTCATCTAAGTGTAGGTGTTCAGTTGTGAAGGAATAGGTGAATGAGTCTGGAGCAGGGAGAGGGTGGGGTGGAGACACTCCGTGGGAGTAAAGGCACTCACCTGAGGACAGAGGGGTTAGAATGCAGAGGAAGGCCTTGGGCAGAGTCCCTGGGAAATCTAACATTTAGAGCCAACACTAAGAGGATTAAGAAGTGCTGAGTGAGGTAGTAGGAAACCCAGGAGGGTGAGATCACAGGCCTACCTGCCACACAGCAGCCCACAGGAGCCCTGTGGACCTAATCCTAGGGCCTTCCACAGATATTTATTTGAACGATACCCTGTTCTGAGCCTGGCACAACTGTGGCTATACAGGAGGCCTGGTGAACGGGCAGACACAGGATGGTTCAAGTGGCAAAGTGCTGCCTCTCAGACCTTCCCTCTGGGGCTCTGCAACCCTCTTTTTGAATAAACAACCCCCCTCACCAGCTCACCTTTTTGTTTCCCTTGTTTTTGTTTTGTTTCGTATCTTTACTTTTTTTTTTGTAATTCCCAATTGTTTTCCATCATTTTATTTTACACCCTACTCACATGTATAATAATTTTCAAACAGTAGTAGTAAAAGCATAAATAACAGTTATGTATCCATTGTAATCTTCACTTTGCTAACATGTTTATATTATATTTTGTGGCATATTAAAATCATTTATTCTAGATGGTGGAATTATGGCTGTTTTAATTTTCTTCTTAATTCTTTTTTTTTAATTTCCCAAATCTCTACAATGACCATATGATACATTTCTAAAAACAATTTTTTTATTTTATTTTTTATTTTTTAAAATTTACATCCAAATTAGCATATAGTGCAACAGTGATTTCAGGAGTGGATTCCTTAGTGCCTGTTACCCATTCAGCCCATCCCCCCTCCCACAACCCCTCCAGCAACCCTCAGTTTGTTCTCCA